TGCCCAATAGGGTTGTTGGGACAATTAACTCACATATGAGCTATTTAGAATTACATGTCCCTTGCAAAATTACATTGTAAAGCTTTAGTTGTGATCACCGTACATACATATGAAGAGTCTATGTTTTCCACTATTTTCCACTATTGTAATTTTCACTAATGTAATGAGTAGCAAAATCTATAGATTCTCAAACATCTAAGCAGACAGCACAAAAAGATATATGAACACGTAAGCTTAGCTCAAATCACAGATGTTCTCTTTTTTGCTTCAAGTTCTGCACTAGAGAAAAATTGGTAAGTAACATATGGGATCTCACCAAAGCAGTCTGCCTGCACAATGGTCCCCTATCCTCCAGATATATGACTCGTCCACTTGGCTTCAAATTCTTGTCTCTTAGGGATACAAGAGCATACCATCCCTCAAATTAGGGAGTTTCATGACTACTGGAAAGACTAAAAAGGCAGTAGTTGCACAAGGCACATGGGGACATGCAGGAACAAAGGAGTTGCGGAGGGCATTGCTGCCATCACCTTTCCAGATTGGACCCATGGGTAAGTTGAGGCCTTGGATCCATGCCAGCCTGGCTATCTAGCACTGGGAACTTGGAAACAGCTCCCACAAACACACACATACATATACAGAAGATGGGGCCCACTTGATGTGGGACTCCCTAACCCCACAGACCCTGAATAGGGTGAAGAGATTCCCTCGGGGAGGCTCCTTTTAAAAGAACTAGCAGATATATTAAGGGCTACCTTGTGGGAGCTCTGCCTGCTGTGACTGTAGCTCCTGGGTGGAGTCTGCCCTCCCCCGGAAGAAGTTCAAGGCCCACCGCAGAAGCCTGAACATGGTGCCCTCGTCACCAAGGTGATGCCTGGGCCTTGTGTGAGAGACGAAGCACGAGGCCTACTTATCAGGACTCTTCGGGCCAGAGCTGCTGTTGGGGAACGATGTTCTACTTCTCTTCTTCAGGATTTGCCAGGTGGGACACAAGCAAAACTGCGCTTTCCTGAGGGAACCTCACAGGAGTACCCAGTATGCTTGTACCGGCTCACGACCCGCCCGAAGCCAGTTTCTCGAAGCCAGGAGAATGGCGCCTGCGTCACTGATGGGAGGAGCTGTGTGTCTCCACGCCCACTGCCTTCTATTGGCCCATGGAGCATACACACCCACTTACTGCATCTCCATTGGCTGATGGCAAGGGGGCGGGGCCTGCAGGAGCCCGTGCATGGAGGAGCACGTGATGATACATTAGAGTTTGCTGACGGTGCAGTGGGTGTGGACTCACACAACTTCTCCTGTCAATGATAAGGACATCATTGGGGTATCTCCAGGAATGTGGATTGGGGGCATGGGGACTCTCCTGTGAGGTACCCCCTCAGGACACAAATGGTCTCAACCGCCAGCGGAGATCTTGAGGCCAGGATAATGGCGCCCATAGTATTGATGGGAGGAGCTGTGTGTCTCCACGCCCACTGCCTTCTATTGGCCTGTGGCGCATCTCCTGCTGCATCCCCATTGGCTGATAGCAGAAAGGGCGGAGCCCTGCATTAGCCTAGTTGCACAGAAAAGAGCACGAAGGGAACATTGGAATTTCTGGTGTGGTGCCATCATGCTGTCTTCCTGGTAGCAAGTAGGGTCCAGTGGATGTGGACACATGGGACTCCTTCCACCAATGCTGAAGGCGCCATTGGAATGGGCTTCAGAATGTGGCTTAGTGACTCATGCTTTTTGTCTGTTGTCTCCTGTGAAGTTCCCTTGAGACTGCTTGCTAACAGTTGGGTCCCACGTCTATGCCTTGGCTGCTGTCCCAGGGCAAGATCTGTCCTCTTCCAGAAGAAGGCAGTGGCCATCTCAGTTGCCACTACAGGCATGAGCACTACATTGCTTAAGAGCAATGAAGCACGATGCCTGCTCTGTTGGGACATCTGAGGGTCATAGTGACTCCTCAAAGATCAGTATCTAGTTTTTCTTCCTTAGCATCTGCAGAATGGTACCCAAGCACTAGTGAGCAGCCCTGAGGAGATGCAGTATGCCAGTGTCACCCTAGGAGCTTCAATGTGCCTGCCCCTTATGCTCTTGCCCTTTTGCACAGATCTCTGTTGGGCTAACCCCCTCCTGTCTTCCAGGCAATCAGAAGTGAGCGGAAGTGGGTGAAGTGGGAGGGGGGGAGGCTACCTTGGCCAGTAAGAGGTGGTGGGTGTAAACACCCTTGACCCCTCCCATCAATCCTAGAAGCACCATTAGGATGCCCAGAGGAACTCGCTTTGGGCTCAAGTTTCTATGTGCTGAGGGCACATAGGGGCTCTCTGAGGTTCCCTGGGAGGACCAGATGTTTGATTAAAATTTGTGATCTAAGCCTGCCCCCAGGACGTGGAAATAAAAAGTCCAGCACTTGCCATGGTGTTCTTGAGGTTTACCGTAAAGGCCAACTACCCAGTGTGTTGTCAGTTGTCATTCCTTTGTAGGGATCAAGTATAGTGTGTGTGTGAGAGAGAAAGAGACTGAGAGTGGCAGAGGGAGGAGAAATGTATTGATTGAAGTACATGCTTTTGTACCAGAACTCCTTTTTGGAACACCAATGTAATTTATGATAGAATTAATTGATAATAAGTCCTAGCACTTGTTCACTGCTTATCTACTTATATTACTTACTCCCATAAAGGTATTTTATTTGTTTGTTCATTTAGTAAATATTTGTTGAGAACGGACTAAGAAGCAGACCCTGTTCTGGATATTTGCAATGATTCAACAAATAAAAGAGTCAATAATCTTTGACATGTGAAGGTAATTTTCTCACAAGAGGAGAATGTTTCAATAATCTTTGTCCTGTGAAGGTAATTTTCTCACAAGAGGAGAATAAGAGAGGCAATAAACATAATATAAAATTAAATACACTGCATGTTGGAAAGTAATACATGCTGTGGAAAGGTACAGCAAAGCTAGTACTTCCACAGACCTAGAGAAGGAGTTGCTTTGCATTTTAGAACGGGGTGGCCAGAGTCAGCCTCATTGAAAAACAACAGTGGCACAAATTCTTGGAGGAGATGTCAGCAAGCCACCTATTGTGCGATGAGTGATTCAGAGAGAGTGCAGCTTGTACAAAAATTGTGAGGTGAGAGTAGATCTGAGGTGTTTAAGATAAAAGCAAAGTTGATGAAGCAGAGGAAGTGAGAGCTACAATAGGAGGAAAGTTGATCAGAGTGGAAATAGAGATTTGGGCTGTGTGGGGCTGTATCAGCTACTGTTAAGTTATTTGGCTTTTACAGAGCATAATCTGTGAGTCTCTGAAGGATTTGGACTCTTTGAGCGGTCCCTCTGGCTATTTGGTTCTGAATAGTATGTAGGAGAAGACACCTTGAAGCAGGGGGACCTGTGGAGGATATTGATATAACCTAAGGCCACTGTGGATGGAATCTGTGGTTCCTTCCCATCCTGCCGAGAGAAGACACAAGAGAGAAGAGCTGAAAAAGATGATCTTCTGGATGAGGACATGGACAGGGAGGGGTCCAAGAACCAGATGAGAGCAGTGCTAGGCCTCAAGGGGGTCAGGAGTGCCAAGTGCCTTGGGAAGTAGGGATTTAAGGGACTTAGGGGATTCCTGGGAGTTGTGGGAATGGACTGGGTAAGCAATAAGCTTTGAAGAGAGCATAGAGAGCACGGCCTATCCTTCAACACATGTCAGCATGAAAAATCTGAGGGAGGATAAAGAGAATGAGAATCCAGGGTTTTTGCTGAAGGTAGTAGTAACAGCTAAAACTTAAGAGTGTGTCCAGTATGTTGATATATTTGGTAGTGGATGGCAGGAGGAAGTTGAAGTCAAATTTGTATATGCGAGTACTTGGTAAACTCCAGAGCCAAATGCTGTTTTGACATTGTTTAAAGCAAAGCCAACCTGCTGCTCTCTGAAGACAGCTCTTCTTGAGGGAGGAGGCGGTCCTAGGTTTGCACCTCTGAGAGAAAAATAATTCATTTACTCATATCTGTGGTGTCTGAAAAATTGTCACTTTTGCTGTATGGGAGAATTTGGATTAGTTTTGTCCGTGAAGTTCATGAATGTGGTGGGAATGGAGGCTGAACACTATTTGAATTTTATTACTAAAAGTAGTGTTTTGATTTACTTTTCTGTGAAGGAGGCCCTAGTTTTTTTTTTTTTTAGAGGGGCGCTCGCCAGACAGAGAAAGACAGAGAGACAGAAAGCAAGAAATCACCCCCCAGGGGGGATGGCCATGCTGCAATCCCTTCTCCTCCATTCTCCTCTCGGGATCTTGGGCACACACACACACGCGCGCCCAGTGTGAGTCTAAGACACTGGGTCCGGGACGCGAACCGCGGTCGACTACGTGGAAGTCCAGTGACATAGCCATTACGCTAACTGCTGGTCCCAACCCTTGTCTTTCATCAGATGTTCCAATGCACATTCTCCACACTACAGAAGGTTGACAAAAACAGGTCCTGATATCCAGAAGCTTTTTGATATATTCAGAGAAGTTTTGGTGCTGCCTTGAGTTATTGCAGAAATGTCACTGTCAAGGGACCCGTGTTCTGTTGAACATGGACATGTTTGCAGAGCATTGAAATCAGATAAGGCCACTCTGACCACAAGGGCTGTGAAAAGAAGACTATTACTTATTCATATCTGAACATGAAACACAGAGGACATCATTTACACCATAAAAATGATGATTTACTCTCTCCTGCCTAATAGGACTCATACCCCCTCCCTACAATTTTACGTTGTTTTCAGTCATCATTGAGTTTAGGAATGCACCCAGTCATTAAATTAC